CACAAATTATAGAACGAAAATAAACTATTCAAGCTTTTGAAGAACGTTTGTAAGAGTTGGATAATATGCCAAGAATTTGTTTGAAGTTTGTTAACCTTTGAAGTGATGCTTAGACTTGCTTTTATAGTCCTTTGAAATCCTTTTCTCAAAGACTGTGCAATCTTTGCATTCTGATCCTTTTGTCTTCTAATGACTTTTCCTTTCTCAGAAGAGGAATGTTCTGACAAATCCTTTTTGTCTGAAATCCTGTGTCAAGCACGAATGGGGAAAGAGCCGTTTAGGATTAGACAAGGAATATACTAACATATCTTTATTTGAACATCATCTTCTTCAACAACTTTGGAACGTCTTGCATCAGAACTTCTGATGATATTCTTAGTTGTTCAAGTCAGAGTTAACTCAATCAGAGTTTCTCTATCAAAGTTTGCAGCAAAGTGCTTTAAGCGTGAAATCCTTATCAGAGCATACTTGCTTATCAAAACTTCTGTACTTGCAGCGTTGAGTACTTTCAGAGTCTTCTGAAGCTTTATGTATGTTCTTTTCTCAAGGTCTTCTTAGCTTCGCTCAGAGTCATTGTAGCAGATCAGAGTCTTCTGATGTGTTGCTTCTGACGCTCAGAGCTTTTTCGTTCTGTGATGTTCAGAGGCGTTCTTGCTTCCAGAATAATATTAATTTTGATATCTGAAACAAATAAACACTTGAACAGAATTAGTGCATATAAATTCTCTATACAAAATTTCATTAATGTTATCATCAAAACAATGAGATATATTGAACATCAATCTGTGTTCTAACACACACTACCCTAACAAACATACCATCACACCCAAACCACATTACCCCAACAAACATATCATCACAGCCAAACCACACAACAACACACATTCTATGTCACCTCATCTCAACAACCAACACCTCGCATCCCAACCCCTAAAACTAACTACTTCTTCCACCAACAATATCAATAACAAATCACACTTCGATCATCCATACAATTCACTCTAATTCATCAACCTAACTTTGACAATTCATACCCCTAATCTCAACAACAAACATTTAACCTTTCACTCTCTCAACCCACTTCTACATACCACACTAAAGATGTTCATTATCCTCTAATTCAACATAACCCTTCAGCCACATTCAACCCACCAGCACAACCAGTCTCCAACTTTAACCTCACTGATTATCAACTCATAGATTGACCAGATTTTTCTATTGTTGATGTGGATATGGACATAGTTATCAATACATCACATCAAAATGAAGAGTTTTCTTTCGACTCTACTCCATCTCCTCAAAGACAGCAAACACAAGACTTAAGAAGGGGGTAGCGTAAAAAAAATGAAGAGGACACAGTGTGTAACAGATGGACATTTATTTAAACCCACTTAATGTATTTTACCTTTTCAGTAATATTAATAAAATTGTTATTTGTTACATATTGTTTAATACAATAATAATATTAATTAATTAATTAAGTGTTAAACGTTATATAAGAAAATATATTACATACAATTAAAAAAACATCTGTTAAAATATCCAAATAATAAAAAAATTATAATATTTTATTATATTATAATATTAATTAAAATATTTATTTATTTATTATTTTTAAAATTTAAAAATCATTTTAAAACTATTTAATCAATAAAGATTAAAAAAAGTGTTAAAAAACAGTCAATATAAAAAAAACAAAAAAAAATCTTCAAAAACTCAACCAATGAATAGACGAAACCATGAAAGAAAGAAAAAACATTCAACCACTATGCCAATATATGGAGGAACCCATACTAATTACATAACATTTTAGTATTAGAGTTTCAAATTCATAGCATGCAAGTAAAAAATCCGAAAAAGAGGATATGCTTGATCAAAAAATTAAAGACTATTTGATTTAAAATTTATTTAGTATATCTAATTATTGTATCTGATTTATTATACTATTCAAATATATTTATTGTTTAATGAACTTACAAAATAAGGAATTTTTTTTAAAGTAGCAATGTTATATAATTTAATTACCAAATAAAACAAGTTTTCAAAAAAATTACCAAAATGACAAACTTTGAAACTCATCCAGCAAACATTCGCCAAATGGTTTGGCGAATTAGTTAAAATGTTGTTTTGGGAATTGTCGCCACATGAATTGGCGAATATGGCTAATTTTTAGGATTTCCAATTTTTTTTTCATAATTACTTACTCCCCTCTTGACTTTTGTTAAAGTCTAACCCCTTGAGTGTTAAACTTAGATCTAGAGAGTTTTATCAAACTCTATACAAACTTTGTTATATTTGTTCCCCCTTTGAGTCTTGACCATGAGTTAAAACTAGATTTTGATGATTGACATATTGTAATGATTAATTAATAATTAATTAAAATTATTTATTTATCTTTCACGTAATTAATTAAAATTAACTTTCATTAATTAATACGAACGACCCCTTCAAATTCACATCAAATTTTCCAACAAAAAGTATAAAAGAATATTAAGAAGCAGCAAGGGCATGCATGCAAAGGAAACTTGCAATGGAAGCTATGTCAAATTATCATTAGATACAAGCCACGAAAAGAAAAAAGAAAGTCACAAGAAACCACCAAATGGTTGTGTTTGTCTATGTTGGACCAGAGAGACAGAGATTCATAATCAAAATCAAAATACTGAATCATCCTTTGTTCAAGTCACTTTTCGAAGATGTTGAAAATGAATATGGCTATGAAAAGGATGATCCTCTATGGCTTCCTTGCAACGTTGACATGTTCTGCGAAGCACTTGTGGAGATAGAAAGTGTTTTTTCAAAGAGTCATAACCATAAATCGAATTCCAATTGTAATAGCATGAGTTGTGTTGCCAATTAGTGTGAGATTTTTGTATAATTGTTGTACATGTGTAAATAAATTCTTATTTTTTTAATGATATATCTGTTTCTTTTAATTTTTCGAAATTTGTTAAGCTCATTGGCAACATCATATCACTATTTTTTGGCAGAAGCTATTTTACGGGAGAACTTGTAAAGGATAAACTCTAACATCCAATTTAGCTCTTTGTTTTTAAATTCACTTTTTATTAATGAATTTGGTATTTTAAAATTTAACCGATGTACAATTTGCTTCTATCATATGATGAATTATCACTCGTATTAGGATAACTGTATTTGATGTATGTAGTATAGTATATATGTGCATGATAATTTGAGGATAGAAACCATGCAAGTAGAATGCATGGTTATGAGGTGTTATGAGAATCATGCATATTTATCATCACCATGCAAATTTTATATAAAAAAGCACGATGCATGGTATTGTATTATGTAACCATTCAAGCAATATGATTAATGAGATTCATATATTCTATTAAGCCGGACCGTATGATTAAGAATTCGTTTTTTCTTTATTTTTTAATTTATTTTTTATAAAAAAGTTGAATTTTATTATTTGATTCATACGAGTTAGAGAATGTATGTTAGAGTTTTTATGAAGAAATGATATTCAATTGTTAATAGAGATTGGAATAACGCGTGAGAGAGGTGTTAAAGTTTTGCATTAGAAGATCTACGACATTTCTATAAGGAAAAAAACTCGTTTATATATAGACAATATTATTCACCACGGTTGATAGTTCCAACCATGATGAAATGTCTATAATTAAGATGTTTTAAGTGTGTAACTGAGCTACATGTTATAACAGTTGCTTTTATAGATCATGGTGAAAATTAGTTTAATTTTAATGTAAACATAAAAAATTAAGGGGACACGTCCTTTTTGTAATGAAAAAATACGAAATTGTTGGAGCTGAAATTTAAAGTGCGTCACTCTTTAACCTATCACCATAGTTGTTAGTTTGGACTGTTGTTAGTTTGGAGTTGGAATTTAAAGTGTGTCACGCCTAAAGAGGAGTTATTTCTTCGGTGGAATAAATGGCCAAAATAAAAAGAATGTTATGAAATGTATATTTTATAATAGTGAGTCAATTAAATTTGGAGGAGGACGGTGATGATGCACATCTCAATTCTAGGGAAAACATGGACCAAAGTAATGATTTTGTTGAGGGAGAAGATGTTGTGCGCAATATTGAAATAAATTTCCCTCATTAAAATTAGATATTGCAGTTATTTAGTTATTTAGTTTATGTTGCAAGAGTGAGAACTAACTTATCTTAAGAGTAAATTTTTTTATCCTACTTCAAATCAAAGTCTTTAACCATTAAATTAGATTCAATTTTAAGGATATGATTTGGAGTAAGCTAAAAAATTTACTCTTGAAGTAAGTTGATCTCCACTCATGTTACAATTAGAATATGTGACAATAGACTTTGTTCAAAACTTATTTGGATTTATATTTTGTACTATTTTATTGTGTATGATGACTATGTTAAGAATTAGAATTTAAATAATGAATTTGTGAAATTATATGTAATTATGATATTTTAAAATGTTTTAGGTGTCATAATTTATTTAGAGTCTATATAATTTTATTATAGAGACAAGTTTATTCAATCGGAATATCTATTTTTATCTGATTTAGTCATGCGATTCGACCAATAACTCAATAATTTGATTAATGAATCTATGACTCAATACTTTCACCAGTTTAATAATCAGTCCAACTTTTAAAATATTGGAAAAAAACACGACACAACTATTTATATTTACACGGATAAAAATATAAAATAAATAAATAAATAATATTTGTTGGATAAAAAGTAAGATAAATAATTGAACAACAAGAGAAAATCTATTTCAAATTTTATAAGCTAATTTTAACAATAAAATATTTATTTTAAGATAAAAGAAAAGGAAGAGGTGTAATTTTTAGTCAGATATATTATTAATCTTATATATTGTTTACAACCTAATAACAATATTTATCATATACTCCTATGATCTCGCAAGGGTAGTTGTTTAGTAGTACTATATAACTTCAAAAAGCTAAACTCTAAGAAACACAACTAGTACTTCCAATTTTCTCTCTGCAATTGATTGTTGGTTGATTTATAAATATGAATTTGGTGAAAAAGTTTAAGAGAATGTTAAGAAGTCGTAAGAGCATTTATCCAGATGAAACTTGCAGCGGAAGCTATGTGAAATTATCATCAGATACAAGCCGCAAAAAGCTAAAAGACAGTCACAAGAAAACACCAAACGGTTGTGTTTGTGTCGACGTTGGACCTGAGAGACAGAGATTTGTAATCAAGATCAAAATATTCAATCATCCTTTGTTCAAAACGCTTTTGGAAGGTGTTGAGAATGAATATGGATATAGAAACGACGGTCCTCTATGGCTTCCTTGTGATGTTGAGTTTTTCTGTGAAACACTTGTGAAGATAGAAAGTGTTTTTCCAAAGAGTCACACTTAGTTACGAGCTTTTGGTATATTTTTTTTTACATATGTAAACAATTCTTATTTTGTTTAATGATATATCTGTGTGTTTTTATTTTTATAATATGTGTTTTGTTTAATTTTTTTAAAATTTGTTAAGCTTAATTTAGCTCTTTCCATTTAAATCATTTTTTATCAAAATTATAGTGTTTTAATATTTTACTGATATACAATTTGGGAATTTTTTTTAAAGTAGCAATGTTATATAATTTAATTACTAAATAAAACAAGCTTTCAAAATGACAAACTTTGAAACTCATCCAGCAAGCATTCGCCAAATGGTTTGGCGAATTAGTTAAAATGTTGTTTTGGGAATAGTCGCCACATGAATTGGCGAATGTGGCTAATTTTTAGGATTTCCAATTTTTTTTCGTTTTTCTTGTTTTTTTTATCATATACTTAAAGTTTTAAAAATTTATTTGTTTTTTGATTTTAATATCATTATTATTAGTAACTATAAAATATATTAATTTATAATATAAATAATGATTGAATCGAAGAATAATTTTTTTTTTAATAATTAATTTAAGATTTATTGAGTCTTTAAGATTTATTGAGTCTTCTTCTCATTCACCACAACTTACTAATGAAACTGATCACACAATGTCATCGATGAATCATGAATCATACGAAGACCGAAATTTAATTTGTATTTTTTTTGTTGACTTGGTTGTAAGTTAGATTGTTTATTTTTTTTAATTTAGTTGGACAAATAATTATTACTAACTTGGTCGTGAGAGTCATTTTTAATAACGTGACTCTAGCTATACTTGTTACTAACTTTATAACCGTTTTTAGTAATTGGTTGTTCTATGTAATTGAATTTATCTTATTTAAATTTAAAACATTTTAAATTAAATTTTAATTTTTAAATTTTGGTTATTTTAATATTTAAAATTTATAATGTTTTAAAATTTTATTTAAACTATAAAATTATTGATTATGTACTTGAAAAACATTATAAGTTTTCATTTTTGTTTTATTTTAAATTTATTATTAAAATAACTATAACATAAATTTAATATTTTTATATTTAAAAATTTATTAAAACTAAAATTTGTGATTTATCTGTGGTTATTTTATGCGGATTTATTTGAGGATCTTTTTGCCAAATATATTACTCCTAATGGTTTTAGTTGGTAATCAAAAAGTCAGAAAAAACCATTTTATGCAAAGATTTAGTTAAAATATAGAAAAGGTTGTCCTAATGATTTTGACTATCTATTTTGATTGTATTCTTAAATTATTTTAATAGACTTCAGTTTCTAGTTTTTGTTAAAATATTATACTTTTAAAGTAAGAGATGTGTTTCATAAAAAAAAAAGAAAAAGATGTTACTTATTATTTTCTATGTATTAAATTTTAAATGTTATAGTGTCATTGTAACACACTAAATAATTTGTTTAAAAAATACTAAAAATATTAACTTTAGCATATTATTTACATTATATTAATAAGTCTAATACATAGAAAATAATAAGTAATAAATAAATTAATATATTTTATAGTTACTAATAATAATTATATTTACATTATAAATTAATATATTTTATAGTTACTAATAATAATATTTTAATTATATTAATATTATTTATATTATAAATTAATATATTTTATAGTTACTAATAATAATGATATTAAAATCAAAAAACAAATAAACTTTTAAAACTTTAAATATATGATAAAAAAAACAAGAAAAACAAAAAAAATTGGAAACCCTAAAAATTAGCCGCTCATTCATGTGACGACAACACATTGACCAATTTTCAAATCGCCTAATTGGCCATTTCATTTGCCGAATGCCTTGAAACAACATTTTAACTAATTCGCCAAACTATTTAGCGAATGCTTGCTGGATGAGTTTTAAAATTTATCATTTTGATAATGTTTTTGAAAACTTATTTTATTTAGTAATTAAATTATATAACATTGCTACTTTAAAAAAAAAATCTACAAAATAGCATTAGAGAGAGTAGTACTAAATTTGTTGGGAAATGAAAGTTTACCCGAGACAGTGAAAGTGGATATGGTCTGAGTGGAATTAATTACGTGAGCATGATGAAATGAAAGATGTTTTGCACGTGATGAGAACAGAGACAGACAGGTTGTTGATCTTCCAATCCCAAAAAAGTGACACTCATATGTCAATCCACACACGTGCCAATCGTACCCACCGGACAAACACTTTCACGTCACGTCTTCCCGTTTCTATGTCCATCCCTTTTCCTCATTTTATAAATATTTTTTCTATTTTAAAAAATTGAGTTAATAAAAATATTTTTTTCAAATCAAGGAGATTTAAAATACGTTTTAATGAAAAAGACCAAAATCTCCTTTAAGACAATCTTTTACTAGTAGTAGTAGTAGTATTGTGAGTTTGCTTGTTTCAAGATACATGTACCTTAAACGGGAATCACTATGTTTTCTTTTTAAGGCATGGGGATCATTGCAAATTTGACCATAATCAAAGTACCATTGTGGAAATTTATGCATAAAAAATTAGATAAACATAATATAGGAGTCAATTGGTCAAAGGGGCAAAGCATTGGAAGTGTGTCCAAATTATGGAGGCATGCCCAATTCACAAAGTATAAAGACAAAGAGTACTCCTTCCAAGAAGTTGAATTTTCTTGTTTTCAGTTATGAATCCATAGTTTATGGAGATTTATTTTCTTTGCATTGGAATAGGGAGGCATCTTCCCATTTTACCATATTTCTCACTTATGTTTTCATAATTATGAAAATAATTTAAAACATTTCCCTATAAATAATACTAGTAATGAACACTTTTCACAAGTTTTTATCAATAGTTTTATAAAGTTTATGTGAATTTAAAAAGTTTCATGCGTAGCTTATTCATAATATATTATAAGTAAAATTAATTAAGTATAAATGTTGTGATTTTTTAGGTAGGCCAATTCTCAACTTGGTCCCACCATTTATATAGTTTGTTAATGAACTCGGTTTGCGGTGAATTTTTTATTTATTTATAATTATTATATTCAATATCATTATTTTAAATTAATAATATTAAACATAAACAAAAATTATTTATAATTATTATATTCAATAAAAAAAATTAATGATATTAAACATAAACAAAAGCCATTTATAATTATTATATTCAATATTATTATTTTAAATATATTCTCATATTTTTCTTATTTCTATATTTTAAACAATTTCTAAGATAAAAAAGTATAGATAAAATTAATGTAAGACTTAAATACATTTAAATATTTTTTAAAGGCTATGTTTTTTTTTATAAAATTGTTTATATACATGATCTCTCTATATGTGTGTGCGCGCGTGTGCGTGTGCATGTGTGTGTGTGCGCGTGTGCGTAGGAGTGTGTGTGCGTGTGTGTGAGCGTGTGCGTGTGTGTGAGCGTGTGTGTGAGAGAAAAGCGAGGAAGAAAAATCTCAAATAGAAGTTTTTGGTCTGTTTTGGAATGAGACAAGTGATTTATTTATATAATGAAGGAAGGTAACCAAGATACTTAATCTAAGGAATGTGAGACTAAGGAATATTTTTAACAAACACACCAACACACTTATTTTTTCTAGCAATGTGGGACTTAAGAAACTTTTCAAATTCACCTCCTATTAGAATATTGACATGTTCCAAAAATTCCTTATTTAAATTTAAAAAAACGTGTTTCAGAAGTAACGTCAAATGTTTCTAAGGTTGTGCATAAACAGATGTGTCTACAACTTGAACCTGTGCATAGCAAGTAGGATTCTAATTCAACAAGAGTGACATAATTGTCTTGAACTCTATATCAGACATCAAACACACAAATTTTTACTAAGTTGTATTATAATAAGTTTGTGCTTTAATGGCTCTGCACGTATATTCTGGTTTAGTGAAGGCTCTACGAATTTGTCTTCAAATTTCATAGGAAATGACCTAAGTTGCACAATCACATAGGTGAGTCTGTCAAGAGTGCTAACGTAGGTAGGACTCCCTCATACATAATATATATCATTAAGAGTTTCTATTATCTCATCCCCTTTTCGCGTCAGGACTCATTCCTCTCTTATTTATACTAGCATGATCGCCTCATATTAGTCACAACTTGTTATTATTACCCATCTGTCATACCCCAAATTTTACCCTCAAATCCTTTGATCTTCTGCGTAGCATGTCATGTTTGTCATCTTACATATACCTAATTTATAAGCTAAAATAAACTTGTCGGATTTACAATCGGATCGGTCAAATAAAAGTCAACTGCGCGTAAAATCAATGGACGAAAAATTTTAAAATCGAGCCTGCAAACGTTGGTGATATTAATATGCGTTTCACGTAGTTTAACCTGGTGTGCTCATTTAAAATTTTCAACCACTTTTCAGTAGCATTTTCAGACAGTTTAAGCCATTTTAGCGGATAAAGTTTATTTCAAAATTTGACCAAACACCGTATTTTTCTGAATAGTATATTTTACATTGATCATTTTGGTATATATTTTTTTTGTGCACTTCGATACCGGTCCAATTATTCGTTTTTACCGCTTTTATTTTTATTTTTAATTAATAATTATTTTAATTAATCTATTTTTTATTTTAGATTTTCATTATAGTTTATTTTATTGTTATTGTTATTTAATTATTTTGTTTTTATTTTATTCATTTAATTTTGTTTTATTAGTTTTTAGAAAACTAGTTAAATAAGTTTCTTAAGAGTGACTTTTTTAAGTTCCCATGAAGAGTGACTTTTTAAAGTTCCCATGAAGAGTGACTTTTTTGAGTTCCCATGTACATAAACACTTTTCCATATTTTCCTCCTTCCTCATGCTATGTGTCATCACTTCATCACATAAAGTCTACACTATATTACTAGCATTACATTTTCAAGACCCCATTTTATGGAAGTTGTTACTCACTTTCTACTACTTTTCTCATTATAAAAACCACATAAACCATACTACTTTTTTCACATTCACAAAAACACTCTCACATTTTATGCTCTTTTCCT